CCCTGGATCCCGGGACCCTGGCAGTGGCGGGCTGCACAGGCTCCCCGGAAGGGGGGTGTGGATAGTGACCTGTGCTCGCACACAGGCGTCTTGGTGGCGGCAGCAGCAGCCTTAGCGTCTCATGCCCGTCTCTGGGGTCCGCGCTTTTAGCCGCAGCTCGCGCCCGTCTCTGGAGCTCCTTTAAGCAGCGCTCTTAATCCCCTCTCCTCGCGCACCAGGAAACAAAGAGGCAGGAAAAAGTCTCTTGCCTCTTCGGCAGGTGCAGACTTTTCCCCGGACTCCCTCCCGGCTAGCCGTGGTGCACTATCCCCTTCAGGCTGTGTTCACGCTGCCAACCCCAGTCCTCTCCCTGGGATCCGACCGAAGCCCGAGCCTCAGCTCCCAGCCCCGCCCGCCCCGGCGGTGAGCAGACAAGCCTCTCGGGGTGGTGAGCGCTGGTTGGCACCGATCCTCTATGCGGGAATCTCTCCGCTTTGCCCTCCGCACCCCTGTTGCTGCGCTCTCCTCCGCGGCCCCGAAGCTCCCCGTCTCCGCCACCCGCAGTCTCCGCCCGCAAAGGGGCTCCTAGTGTGTGGAAACATTTCCTCCTTCACAGCTCCCTCCCACTGGTGCAGGTCCCGTCCCTATTCTTTTGTCTCTGTTTTTTCTTTTGTCCTACCCAGGTACGTGGGGAGTGTCTTGTCTTTTGGGACGTCTGAGGTCTTCTGCCAGCGATCAGTGGGTGTTCTATAGGAGCAGTTCCACGTGTAGATGTATTTCTGATGTATGTGTGGGGAGGAAGGTGATCTCCGCATCCTATTCTTCCGCCCATCTTCTCTTGTCTCCTCAACACTCTTTTATGTTGTTTCTTTTGAGAGTTTCTGGGCAGCTTTTCCATTGCTCCTCTGCTGTCTATGTCATAATTGTCATCTTTTATTCCTTTATTCAGGACCCAACCATAAGACAGGGCTGCTTCACTGGCCCAGTTTGGGCACAGTATGATACTTAAGAAACACAGTTCATTGGTCATAAGTAATTAAATAGTAACTCAAATTTCTACTTGAAGTCTCTCAAAGGATGTTAAAGGGAATCCAATTTATAAGTTATAGTGATACTTCCTATCATATCCTTTCCTGTCCTCTTCAGTCGTCTCAAACCATCCCATTCATCTGCTGCCCAGAGATTCTCACTCCTTTGAGCCTTAGTACTATAGCACCCCTATTTCCTAAACCAACCTGAGTGGCCCCTGTTTTTCTTCTCCTTTCCTCTCTGCCTTTTCAGTCCAAACCAATCTTAAGAAGTAAGCAAAAAAAAAAAAAAAAAAAAAAAGCTAAGGGAGAGTAAAAGTAAGAAAAATGTGACTAGTAGGAGGTCATGAGGAGACAACTGGGAACACTTATGTATGCATTTTTGTCCCTGCCATTCATTCATTCATTCTTTCATTCTATACTAAACAACAAATGTGAGCCAAATATTGTGGGGATTGAGTAAGACATGGTCTTTGCCTTTGAGAAGCTCACAATCTTAGTGACTATGTGTCTGTTATAGTTTCTCCCTCCCCCTTACACTGTAGTTTGAAGTTTTTTTGAGCATGTTGGGGATACCCTGGACAAACAAGATCTCATTGTTATAAAGCAGACTCCATTCTCACAAGGAGAAATGATGTGTATTATACCTGGGTCTGGATCATGACTTGAGTCTATATGCTCCATTCTTCATTCCTCATTGTGTTCATCTTCATTCCTCCTTCCCCAAGGAAGCTTCAGGTAAGTTTTCTGGTCCTACCCTGGTACTGGGGCCTCTTTCTTATCATCACATGTCCTAGCCAAAGACCTGGTTCTGTTTTTCTTTTGTGCATGCTGATGTCTTTTACTTTTAGACCTAGCCTACAAGTGAAAGCTTCTTCAGGAGCTGCTACAGGTTTTTGGATTTTTGGCCCCTACTTCAACATTCTTCACTCTTCCAGATTCACACATAGGCATTCATTCCTTAAAAATATATCATTAGTCTAGTCCTTATTTTACCACTGTTTTGGTACAATAAAGTAAGTTCAGCAGGCAGTTGTTAAACATCTCAGTACTTAATGCATAGTACTAGATGTTATGGATACAAAATTAACGTAGGTAATAATAATAAAACAATACATGACATTTATTGAATACTTACTAATCTTCCAAGTATTAGTCTAAGTACTTTATGTGTGTTGATTATTTGTATTAATTTAATTGTATTCTAAGCATTTATTTGTGTAACTCTGGGTCAGGGTTCTTTAGAGTAAAAAGAACCAATGGGATATATATAAATATATAGAAAGAGATTTATTATGAGGCCCATGCAGTTATGGAAGTATAACCCATATTATGTACTTCTTTGGAGAAGTCCCATGATCTGCCACCTGCAAGATGGAGGCCAGGAAAGCTACAGGTGTAGTTCCAGTACAAATCCACAGGCCTTAGAATATATAGACTCATGATTTGAGTCTATATGTTCTGTGTTCTTCATTCTCAGTGGACTCATCTTCATTCATCCTTCCACAGAGAGTCTTCAGGGGAGCCAATGGTCTAATTCCTAGTTCAAGTCCTAAGGTCCAAGGACCAGGAGCACTGATGTCCAAGGGTAGGAGAAGATGGATATCCCAGCTCAAAGTAGAAAGCAAATTTGCCTTTTTTTCCTGCCTTTTTGTCCTATTCTGGCCCTCAGTAGATTGGATGATGCTCACACACATTGGTGAGGGTGATCTTCTTACTCCGTCTACTGATTCAAATGCTAATCTCTTCCAGAAAAACCCTTATAGATGATCCAGAAATAGTGTTTTACCAGCTGTCTGGGCATCCTTTAACTCAGTAAACTTGACACATGAACTTCACCTTCACAAACTCTGTAAGATAAATACTAAAACAAATGCAGAGATGTTAGGTAAAATGCTCAAGGTTATACAGCTAATAAGTGGGCCAGGATTTGCATAATCTAATTCCAGAACCCATGATCTTTTTTTTTTCTTTTCTTTCTTTATTTAGTTTTGGCTGTATTGGGTCTTTGTTGCTTCACGCAGGCTTTCCCTAGTTGTGGCGAGCTGGGGCTACTCTTTGTTGCAGTGTACAGGCTTCTCACTTCAGTGGCTTCTCTTGTTGTGGAGCACAGGCTCTAGGCACGTGGGCTTCAGTAGTTGTGGCACGCAGGCTCAGTAGTTGTGGCTCATGGGCTCTAGAGCACAGGCTCAGTAGTTGCGGCTCATGGGCTTAGTTGCTCCACGGCATGTGGGATCTTCCTGGACCAGGGCTCGAACCCCTGCATTGACAGGCAGATTCCTAACCATTGCACCACCAGGGAAGTCCCCAGAGCCCATGATCTTAACCATCATACTACAATGGAAAATGAGTTAAACTCATAAGACTCATTTTTTGTCCTTAGGAAGCATGTGATCTGGTGATAAAGGCAAGTAATAGATATTAAATGGATCACTTTAATATGATATGAGTTCTAAGATATAGACATGCACAGGATATTGTAGCTTTCCGTCCTCCTTTCTTCACCACCTATGTGTAATGATTCAAAAAAAGCCATCCTGGTGGTTGGCTGTGACTTCTTACTGAGAAATAAAGCGGTTAATTGTGGCTTGTGCTATCTTCCTAAGCATATGTCTGAGACTTGTTGGAGAGTCTACCAAGGATGACCTAGGCCAGCAGTTCTTAACCAGAATGAAGGCAGGAAGATTTTTTCCTCCCAGGGGGCATTTGGCATTGTCTGGAGATATTTTTGATGGTCACAACTGGAATGATGCTACTGGCATCTAGTGGGCAGAGGCCAGGGAGGCTGCTAGATATCATACAATGCACAAGGACAGCCCTTCACAACAAGGAATTCTCTGGTCCAAAAAGTCAATAATGCCAAGGTTGAAAAACACTGACCTAGGCTGTCAGAGATTATAAAGTACGGAATGGATCAATCAGAAACACTCTGGAAATAAATGCCTGTGTGTGTTTGTGAACGCGCCAGGCAAAAATTAAATGCTCCATAACTGGTTGTTGAATGGATAGATGGATAGTTGGAAGGATTAGTGACTAGGAACTTGAAAGACCTGGGGACACAGGCATTTTGAATCTTTATTGAAAAGAATGTTTTCGGGAACGATAGACATGTGGAAAGTAAATAGGTATAGACACGATGTTAAACAATATGAAGTTTTTTGTGACAGTATATGAGGTAAGAGCGATATAGATCATATTTCTTCTTTCCTCTACCATTAGCTTTTTTCTACTGCTCTTTCTCAGCCTATACATTTACACTTAGTTTTCCTCCCTCCACAGAGAGAGTTAGCAGACCTTCCTTCATCTTATGTCTTCTGGCTATCACCTTTTCTTTCTCCTTGCATTCAAGAAACCAGGGTTTTTAGAACTGAGGCTTATACAATTTGGAGTGCCCTCATGAGAAAGAGAACAGAACTGTAAATACAAATAGGAACAAAAATGAATGTAGTTAGGATGAGAAAAGAAAGCCCAGCGTATCACAAGTTTTTTTAAAAGCTGACAAATACAAAAATCACGAAAGCCAGAAAAATAGCACAATATTTTTATTAATAAAATGCGTTCACTCTCCTATAATACTTTGCCACTGACTAACTCTGGTTCCCTTTCCTTTCTAACCTTGTTTCTCCTTCACTTCTTACCTACTGCTGGAGAACTAAATTGAAACACAAGGAACACAAGCACAGAGAGGAGACGTGACTCGTCATCATTTTCTTTGAAAATGTCCTATTAGGAGAGTAAGGGAGAGAGCAAGGGCTGGCTCAGTGTCCTTTTTCTTTATCCTCTAGGGCAGAATTAGACGGATTATGAGCACATCTCCTGTTCTCATGCCCACTTCTCAAGCTCTGACTATCATTGAGTTCCTGATCAGGGGTCAGGCCCTCTGATAGAGATCATACTCACTGCTCCCAAGCAAAAGGCTCTTCCTTCTTCTTTGTTCCACCAGCCCAGGCCAAAGCCTGGGCCACTGGGCAGCTCTGCCTTTTTTAAAATGGGTCTCACTCACTCTTCCTCTCATTGGCAGATTATTCAAAATATGCCATCTCCGGCAGCAACGTGAGTCTGTCAATCTCCAGTTTGCCGACGAACAACAAATCACTCACCTGGTTTTATACTACTGACCAGAAGATTGTAGAATGTGATTCCGTTCAGCTTAAATACTTCAATACTAAATTTAAGGACAGGGTCAGTCTTGATCGTCGAAGTGGCACACTGCACATCCATAACGTCCAGAAGGAGGACAGCAGCACTTACCTCCTGAAGGTGCTGAAGGACTCTGGGTACGAGGACGAATGGAAGATCCCACTGGAGGTGCTTGGTGAGTTAGGGGAACCAAAGGGCAAGTCCCCACTCCAGGGCCCTGGACAGACCACTGGGAGGGGACTCTCCCTGGGAGGGGGAGGGAAAAACCTCAGGATAGGCTTAATTCATTTCTCCTGGAGCCAGTTCCACTTGGAAGTGAGGCTGGGCCAGCCAGACTCGAAGTAGATTACTCTGGGACATTTAAAACCTCTTCTGACATTAAGGAGTCTAAGATTTGAAGATAAAGAAAACAGTAAGGATGGTTTCCTCTCTATTCTCTTCATGCTCTCCTGTGATCAACCCAAATCAGTTCTGAGCTCTTCTTAATAACATAACTGAACAAAGACTTCATCAAACATAAGGAAAAAGATAGAAGAGATAAAGGATTGGGCAAGAGCCATTCAAGAGTGTTTTTACCTTACTGAATGGGTGGGAAAAAAACTTCCACTCCTAGTGCCAGCCTAACGAGTATAAGTGAAGTAAGGGCTAGAACATTATACTTGGAGTCAGACAGACCTGGGTTTAAAACCCTGGTCAGTAACTTACTAGTTGTGTGAACTTGGAGAAAGATCTTGCCATCTCTGCCCCATTAGGTAAGATTCTGTTGATGGCAAGCGATGGAGACCAATTTGATGTACCTTTAGCAAAAAAGAATTTCTTAAAAAAAAGAAAACTAGGACTATTTAAAGCAATGCAAGGAGTTTAGAAGAGTCAAGAAGGGCTGAAGGGAAGGAAGAATGGTCTAAGAGGCTAAAATCCCCTTCTCACTCACTTCCTCCATGTCATACGTCCTGAAAGTTCAAGACGTACTGGGAACAGGAAAGATTCAAAGGCTCTTACAGTGGTTTTAAAAAAAATCCCAAATTTGTATCATTTACCAAATTCTGTGGTAAATACTCCCACCACAGCCACCTCCAAACTGCTAATGGTTTCACAAGCAGCTTGCAAAATTTCTGAATATCTTAAAATCCACAAGCTGGCTTAGCTTTAGCACACTTGCCTAGGGATAAGACCCTGAGGGTGCGATTAGCAGAAGAATTATCCTTCAGTCCAGCCCAGGAATTTCTGACAGCTCAAAGGGGTTATCTTGGAGCCAGTCTGCCCTAGCTCGCTCTGTCCACAATGTGCTCAGGGTTGTGCTGCTCACCATGGGAAATGAGGATGGTATGCAAGACTTGAGTCCAGACCACAGGAAATGATGGAAGACAGTATGAAGATTGCTCATGTAAAGTATGCAGGAGGAGTCCAGCAATCTGATAGGGTTTCACGGAGGAGATGGATCTAGAGTTCAGGAGGTCAGATGGCAGAGCCTCCACTGCCCCTCACAGACATATGATCCAGAGGCCAGCACTGATTGGGTCAATTCTCTGCCACATTTTAATCCTATGACATCTGAGCTGTATTGATTCTGTGTTTTACGCTTGACCAGAAGGAAAAGACCCCAGAGGATTTCAGGTAAAGCAGTCCTAGTCAAGGAAGGAGCAGATGATGGGATTACCTCTCAACAAATCTGGCTGCAGGATGACATCAGTGAAGATGCTGTGACCTCCAACATGCATGTAACGCTTACACCCTGCAAAAGCACTTTCTAATGGATGATGGCATTGTATATTACTAACATGAGTCATCCTACATGCAAGAAAGAAGTTCAAGGGATCAATTATCTTGCCTAATGTCACTCTACCAGGACCAAGTCCAGGACCCAGGCTGGTCTCACTGTAAAGCAAGTGTTTTGTCTTTTCTATTGCATAACTGATTCATCCATCCATCCATCCATCCATCCATCCATCCATCCATCCATCCACCTATCCCTTTCATCAGATACTTATAGAATACCTGCTCTGTGGCTGGCACTGAGATACCAAAGTTAACTGATGCAGTGCTGTTCATCACTACTGACTTTTGCTGGGAATTCCATGAGGTTCTTCTCTGTAGTTCTGCCAGCATCCAGGAAAGGTATAGGGTGGTACCCCTTACCCCAGGACTCTTGCTGAATCTGAGCCCAAGAACTATTGAAGGACTGATAGACCAAGGTGCCAAGTGTGGACCATTGCTAGAGAAGGGGCCCTGAGCAGCTCAGACAGTTGGGATATCAAGTCCAACCCCGCTGATATCTATGCTAAACCTCTGTTGTTCTTTCTGGCCCACAGATTGTCATAACCCCATTTTTGTTTCTGGGTGCATGGCTCCCCCTTCTGGATCCAGCTTAGCTTCACTCCAAGGAGTAGCTCTTTCAGTCTGAAGCCTCCAGAGGTCAAAACTGCTCACTGGCTCCCTCTGCAGGGGCCTCTTCTCCATGACTGCTCCTGCAGCCCTCTGGGGCTCCCTTTGTACTTTGTTGGCGAAACCCTCCCAGCAAAAATGCTTCATAAATGCATAAACCCATTGTCTCATCTTAACATATTCATTTTTAGACCCTGTACCAAAGCCTGTCGTAGAAGTCAAGAAGACACAGGAAGGGAACAAGTGTAACCTGACCTTGTCCTGTGTGATCCAGGACCAGTCTGTAAACTACACCTGGTATGCAGAGTCCCTTCCAAAAGAGTTCCAGAGCAGTGTGCTTGAAGTGACCCATACACCACAAAACTACTCCAGTTCTTATACCTGCCAAGTCAGCAATCCTGTGAGCAGCCAAAATTACACAGTCAACTTCACTTCACCCTGTGTACTGGGTAAGAGATACTGCCAAGGGAGCTGAGGTGGGCACAGGGTAACTAGTTTTCTCTTGAAGGAAGAAAAGCGTGGAGAACTTATTCAGCCTCCTGGCACAGAAATTAGTGGAGAATCCCAAAGGCATGGAAGACTTGGGTTCTCTAAGGTTTCACTGCCTTGCTGAGAGGGTTCACCGCCTCTCAGCAGCTCACCTCGGCTTTGTGGAGCTCAGGGTCCTCATCTGCAAAGGGCAGTTGGCACAGGGGCTCTGATTTCCCCTTCTCCTGCCGTGCTCTAACAGTGCATCATCCTGGAATCTGAGGCCAGTGTCCTTGCAGGATAATCTGAGATTTCAGGGTGAGCAGGGAGAAAAAGGGCAAGTAGGGGAACAGTCCAGACACTGTTGGGCCGCAACACAGAGGCATTTCTGGTGGGCAGCGAAGGAAAAAAGGGCCAACTGGATGAGCATGAGTGAGAACAAGTGGTGAACAGGAGAACCTGATCCTAAGGTAGAGACTTTCTGTTCTTCCCCAGGTGTATGCTCCTTGATGAAGCTGGAAAAGCAAACTCTGGGTTTCGTGTTTCAGATTTCTCTGTCTCCTGGGAGGATCCACTCATTAGAGCATCACTCCTCGTTCTCTCTCAAGCCTACACAGGTCCCATAGTGGGGTAGCTATGAGTATAGGTTTTGGAGTCAGTTACACCTGGGATTAATCCTGGGACTGTCACTTACTAGCTAAACAAGTTACTTAGCTTCTCCAAATCATGTCCTTCTCTTTTTTTTTTCATATTTATTGGAGTATAATTGCTTTATGATGTTGTGTTAGTTTCTACTGTACAACAAAGTGAATCACTGTATGTATACATGTATTCCCATATCCCCTCCTTCTTGAGCCTCCCTCCCACCCTCCGTATCCCACCCCTCTCGGTGGTCACAGAGCACCGAGCTGATCTCCCTGTGCTACGCATCATCTTCCCACTAGCTATCTATTTTACATTTGGTAGTGTATACCTGTCAATGCTACTATCTCACTTCATCCCAGCCTCCCCTTCCCCCACTGTGTCCTCAAGTCCTTTCTCTACTTCTGCATCTCTATTCCTGCCCTGCCAGTAGGTTCATCAGTACCATTTATCTAGATTCCGTATATATGCATTAGCCTAGGGGATTTGTTTTTCTCTTTCTGACTTACTTCACTCTGTATGAAGTCATGTCCTTCTTAAATAAGACAAAACAATAGTTCTTATCTCATACTGTTATAAGGATTAAATGAGGCAATACAGATAACTACCTAGCACAGTATCTAACAAGTCCTCAATGAATGGTAGTTAACTTAGGCCCAATCCTTTTAATTCTAGAGACACTAGGGATTTGGCAACCACTTAATAAATTTGGATCACCATCTTCAGCATTTCAGGCCCTGTGCTCTCCACAGGCCTGAAATCATATCCCCAAGCCCTGGTGTACAAATCCCTCCAGAATAACTCATACCTGTGGTACCAACATTTACCTGAGATTCCTGTCATACCCAATCATCAGGGATCATGGCCCCTGGAGACATGGCTCTTTCATGGTCTTCTTGGACCCAATCTACTCTGCCCACCTGTGCTGATTTCTTTACCTCTGCTCCCACACATGAGCTATGGAAACTGTATGTTCAGTATTCTTCCCAACTAACTGGTCATGTCTCTTCTAGTCTTTACTGATATGCCCTGCTTTTCTGCCACCATAGACCCAGTATGACACTTTGCTGTCTGACCATAAGACCACCAGTTGGCTGGGTGGTCCTAACACCACCTTTATATCACCACCATATCCTGAGATCCAGAAAAAGGAAGAGAAACAATCCCTGTCCTTTATAGAATGAAAGTGGCTGCTCATTCACAGAGAGGATGAAAGCAATAATACATCTATTTTTTGAAGGGCTAAGCCCATCTTGTCACTTTTTTTTTTTTTTTTTTTTTGTGTTATGCGGGCCTTTCACTGTTGTGGCCTCTCCCATTGCGGAACACAGGCTCTGGGCGCGCAGGCTCAGTGGCCATGGCTCACGCGCCCAGCCGCTCCGCGGCATGTGGGATCTTCCCGGACCGGGGCATGAACCCATGTCCCCTGCATTGGCAGGCGGACTCTCAACCACTGCACCACCAGGGAAGTCCCATCTTGTCACTTTTTAGCTATCCAAATTATCCTAGAAAAGTATCCCTAATTCTTCTTCCCTGATTTATCAGTATCCTGCCTTCCCCTTCTGTATCTCTTTATTTCCCTTTCTTTTTTTTTTTCCTACCCCTTTTTTCCTCCTATTTGGTACTGATGGTTAGTAGTGTAGAGAAACAGGGAAAGGAACTAATACTTCCTTCCCTAAAGTTAACACATAGCATCATATTATCAACTGCACCTGAAGCTCTGCCCTACTTAATTGCTGCCCAGTGTAGGAGAGTGATTCTTTCCCAGGTCCACAGAGGTGCCAAGGTAACCTTCAAGTACAGGACTCAGCTAAGCCAGTGATATTTAAGGGATTTCTGTACTCTTTATACTTTACATCTGGGACTTTGAGCTTTGCTCAATCTGGGAAAAGGATGTCCCAGGCACATTGGGTCTGGATTGAGGGAGGAAACAATTCCCCTGCTCTATAAGCTCCCATGCCAATGTCCAGTACCCCTGCCCCTTCTCAACACATTAATCAAGACACCTAAATGTTTTGTGTTTTCTTGTTCTTTCAGCCCCATCCTCTGGAGTAGCTTGGACTGACACTTGGCTAGTGATCACGGTACCCACTGTTCTTGTTCTCCTACGGATCTGAGATAAACTCTTCTAACTCAAGAGTGGAACTTTAAGAATAAAAGAAATTATCCTCATCAGTAACCAAAATATTAACCAGGACAGAAGTTCTGGTTATATAGGATGAGTGAAAGTATTGAGATGTTTACAAGGATTTTCAAATTAACTTTTTTAAACAACAATAATATTTTATTTTATATCCTCTAGTTGTTTTTTTAACATACATATACACATGCATTCTTCCCATCAAAAAATGGGCAAAATGTATTATGAAATGTTTTCTTGTTGGAATAAATATTTGATATGATTGCCAAAGTGGATTCCTAAAGTTGCCCCAAATTTGTCGGACAATGCCTGCTCCATTAGCCTAGACAAACTGGAACATGGAGATACAAAGGGCAACACCTGGGACCACTGCCTCCTGTGTGCCTACGTGGCTGGGAGGTAATTTGTGCTGTCTCTAACTCTCGCTTCCACATCCTTGCCAAACCTCCTGGGGTTCCAGCTCTCAAACTCCTCCCCCACCAAGTTCTGGTCTCCTTCTCAGTGTTTTGCCTGTTCTAGCCTCTGTGAGGAACATACTTATTAGGTTTCCTGGGAATGTGGGGTCAGGCTTACTCCCCCAGAACTGAGTATGCAGCTTATTTTTTTTTTTGCCCTGATTTTTTTACATCTTTATTGGAGTATAATTGCTTTACCATGTTGTGTTAGTTTCTGCTGTATAACAAAGTGAATCAGCTCTACGTATACATATATCCCCTCCCTCTTGAGCGTCCCTCCCACCCTCCCTATCCCACCCCTCTAGGTCGTCACAAAGCACCGAGCTGATCTCCCTGTTCTATGCAGCAGCTTCTCTCTAGCTATCTATTTTACACAGGGCAGTGATATCTGCCAGTGCTACACTCTCACTTCATCCCAGCCTCCCCTTCCTCTCCTGTGTCCACAAGTCCATTCTCTATGTCTGAGTCTCTATTTCAGCCCTGCCACTACATTCATCAGTACCATTTTTCTAGATTCCATATATATTGAGTATGCAGCTTTACCACATAAAAAGGGTCCTTCCCAAACCTCTTATTGGGAGCTGAGTTTCCTCTCCTCCTCTTTTCACCATTGTCGCTGTATGGGCAGCTCTTCATGTCCTCGTTGTGTCCTGAGATCCAAAAAACCATCAAATCGACTAAATGCTGTCACCAGGGACTTTCATTATAGGAAGGTAAGAGCTACCAGGCCCACCATCGACATAACACCTGGATTTTTTGCTGTATGTTCTCCTCCTCTAAGGTTCTGCATGGGTCTGGAGCTGAGAGGGTCACCAAAAGATGTGCTTCCCTTTCAATGAACTGTTCCACCACAGACCACTTTCTCTTTCCACCAAATCAGCCTTACCTCCCCTTCCCCTCATCACCTCTGTAGCAGAGATAATACTGTGTGTTCAACAAACCCTTTCATTTTCTTTCTGGACTTTGATGGTTAATAATTTTATGTGTCAAACCTTATTCTGGGTGTGTCTCTGAGGGTGTTTCTGGGTGAGGGTAACATTTGAATCAGTACACTGAGTAAAGCAGATTATCCTCTCCAGTGTGGGTGGGCCTTATCCAATCAGTTGAAGGCTTGAAAAGAACAAAAAGGCTTAGGCTCCCACAAGTAGGTGAGAACGCCTCCTAGCTGACTGCCTTCAAGCTGGGACATTTGGTTTTTCCTGCCTTCGGACTTGGACGGGAAATACACCATCAGCTCTCCTGGGTCTCCAGCTTGCTAACTCAGATCTTGGGACTTGTAAACTTCCCTAATTGCATGAGCCAATTCCTCATAATAAATCTCTTTAAATGTGTGTGTGTAGTGTGCTACTGGTTCTGGTTCTCTGGAAAACCCTGACTAATACATCAGCCAATAGAAAAACTCTTTTTCCCAGCTCCCATTTCATCTAATTGGGCCCTGTACCGGGTTTTAGCCAATAGCATGTGGGTAGAATTGATGTAACAGAAAGTGAGGGACTCAGAATTGGAACCACATAATGCAAGGAGCCTCGGTTCAAGCCGTTGCTTGGAAGCCGGCTGTCTGATCTGCATTGGACATGCGTAACAAGAAAGTTTGTGTTTGTCTGTTACAACAAGATAACCTGGGCTCCCTAAGACACCCTCTCTCTTCTCTCTCAGCCCAGCCTGCAGTCCAATCCCAAACTGACCTCTGATCAGCTTGCATCCTCCAATCAGGCTGTCTAGATCTCTTTTCTGTATGCAGTGTCCTCCCCTCTTCCTTCACTTTATTTTGGGAGAGGAGGAGGTTTTGTTGGGAGAAACACACACACACACACACACACACACACACACACACACACATACACACACACACACATACACACACACACACGGGCATGCATGCACACATACACATGAATGGAATAAAAGAGCATTTCTGGGGAAAGTAGTAAGAGGAAAGAAATGTCACTTTATATCACAAATCAGCATATTCCTGGGCTGCTAAAGAACAGGCACACCTCTCCAGGCATCACGTTGCTATTGGTTCTAGTTACTTAAAAACTTGCGGCAAATCCCACCTTAGTTAGCTTAGGTCACCAGCAGCAACTCTTCTCTGCCTCTCCCATCCCTTGAGGCATTGCCAGATACAAAATATGTGCGGCTCCGTACAAAATGAAAATGAAGGACCGCTTGTTCAAAAAGCAGGAAAAGAGTGCCATTAAATGTACCAAAATGAAGCTTTTTCCTTTCTTCCACAGACTCTCTCTACTTGGGATGGTATTTTTTAACTTGCTATTTAAAGATGTTCTAAGGAAAGGAAAATTAAAATCTTAAATTACTACTATGAATTTTACTGTTTATATTGTGCAATGTCAGTTTTGAAAGAAATACAAGAATATTTACTTTGTATGTAGAATCATTGAAATCACTCAGTTCATATTTCATAGCTCATACGTCCACACACATTCTACCAGCACTCTATGGAAGCCAGTGGCTTCCGTAACACAACTCCTTTGTACTTGTTTTGAGTCTCACTGAACTCCTGTGCGTTGTGCCTCCACTGGATTCTGCACTCATGCGGTACCATGAACGAGGCCACAAGGAACAGTGACTGACATGCATAGTGCACGCATCTCCTGCTCATGTGTGTGGCTCCCTGGTCTCAACGGACTTCACTTAAAACACAACTTGAAAGATAAAATTATTAAGAATTTCAACTCCAAATATCATACGTTATTACTTATATGTGGAATCTAAAAAAAAAACTGATACAAATGAACTTACTTGCAAAACAGATAGACTCACAGACGTTAAGAGCAGACTTGTGGTTGCCGGGGGTGGGGGAAAGTGGGGAAGAGAGATAATTTAGGAGTTTGGGAATAACATATACTCACTATGTTACATATAGTAACATATACTCACGACTATATATAAAATAGATAATCAACAGTGATCTACTGTATAGCACAGGGAACTCTACTCAATATTCTGTAATAACCTATACAGGAAAAGAATCTGAAAAAGAATGGATATACTTATATGTATAACTGATTCACTTTGCAGTACACCTGAAACTAAAACAACACTCTAAATCAACTATACCCCAATATAAAATAAAAATTAAATTACAAAAAAGGGGAAAAAAAAGAATTTCAAGATGGTGACAGCAGAGTACTAAACCAAGTGTAGCACCCTTCTGAGCATAGGGCCCTGTTTGACTGCTTAGGTCACATGCCCGTGAAGCCAGGTTTGCCTCGAGGATGCCTCATACCCTATGGCCAAGACAATTGCTTCTCTGAGAGTTCTAGTACAGGGATCAAACCTGATTCTCATATGTTCCTCAGACCCTCATATATTTCAAAAGTTAGTGGGATGATTATCAGTGAACTCAAGCCTTTGTCTTTGTGCAAAGAAGATATTCCAGCATTGGCCTAAAGTTCTTACCATGAACAGCCTCATGTGAACTGAAGTCTGAAGACAAGTTTCCTGTCATCCTTCAGTCAGCTCTGGGGAGCTCTGCAGCACTGCCCTCTGATGGCTCCATGGCAGCAAGTTTAAGTTTAAAAAGTCTTGGAATGGGAGAAATTATTTGCAAATGAAGCAACTGACAAAGGATTAATCTCCAAAATTTACAAGCAGCACGTGCACCTCAATGTCAAAAAAAACAACCCAATCCAAAAATGGGCAGAAGACCTAAATAGACATTTCTCCAAAGAAGATATACAGACTGCCAACAAACACATGAAAGAATGCTCAACATCATTAATCATTAGAGAAATGCAAATCAAAACTACAATGAGATATCATCTCACACCAGTCAGAATGGCCATCATCAAAAAATCTACAAACAATAAATGCTGGAGAGGGTGTGGAGAAAAGGGAACACTCTTGCATTGTTGGTGGGAATGTAAATTGATACAGCCACTATGGAGAACAGTATGGAGGTTCCTTAAAAAACTACAAATAGAACTACCATACGACCCAGCAATCCCATTACTGGGCATATACCCTGAGAAAACCATAATTCAAAAAGAGTCATGTACCAAAATGTTCATTGCAGCTCTATTTACAATAGCCAGGACATGGAAGCAACCTAAGTGTCCATCATCAGATGAATGGATAAAGAAGATGTGGCACATATATACAATGGAATATTACTCAGCCATAAAAAGAAACAAAATAGAGTTATTTGTAGTGAGGTGGATGGACCTAGAGTCTGTCATACAGAGTGAAGGAAGTCAGAAAGAGAAAAACAAATACCATATGCTAACACATATATATGGAATCTAAGGAAAAAAAAAAAGTCATGAAGTACCTAGGGGTAAGACGGGAATAAAGACACAGACCTACTACAGCATGGACTTGAAGATATGGGGAGGGAGAAGGGTAAGCTGTGACAAAGTGAGAGAGTGGCATGGACATATATACACTACCAAACATAAGGTAGATAGCTTGTGGGAAGCAGCCGCATAGCACAGGGAGATCAGCTCGGTGCTTTGTGACCACCTAGAGGGGTGGGATAGGGAGGGAGGGAGCGAGGGAGACACAAGAGGGAAGAGATATGGGAACATATGTATATGTATAACTGATTCACTTTGTTATGAAGCAGAAACTAACACACCATTGTAAAGCAATTATACTCCAATAAAGATGTTAAAAAAAAAAAAGTCTTGGATTAGTCCAGTGCTTCTCTAACCTTCACTTTAACAGTAGCAAATCACCTTGAGATCTTGTTAAAATGCAAGCTCTGAATCAGTAGGTCTGGGGTGGAGACCAAGACTCTGCATTTCTAACAAGACCCCCACAGGATGCTAACGTTGCTGTCCATGGA